TTCAGCTTTTCTTTGTACCTGGTTACTGCTTTCTTGATCTCGTCGATAACTAGTAGGATCTTCAAACCGCGATGAAGATCCCTATTACGAACATATCAAGGGTCATTGTCCATTTTCCTCGCAACTTTATTTATTAGTATAAATAAGTAGCAAAGTGTAGCTAAGATTAATTGGGTCAAAGAGCGGGTTGAAAATCAGTCTTTTTCTAAAACTCAGATCCCCCCGAACGTGTCAAGAACCATTCATTTCGGCTGGGTGGGGTCCAGATCACCGAGAACTTGATCTGGCACGAACACATCTCGTCAATCGTGCCAGCTGCTCGAAAAAAACTATGCTATTTGTTTAGGAGAAAGAAGTTCCTTTCTCCATACGACCTCCTCACTCTTGACAAAACCCAGATAAGACCCAGAATCCAGTACTGCACACATGTTTGGGGTGATGCCGCCCCGACCACATTATCCATGCTTGATTCTATTCCTAGGACGGCTATCCGACTGATCGATGTCTCTTCGCTAACGGACAGTCTAGGGACCCTTTTACACCGGCGGGTCGTCGACAATTTAGCTCTCTCCTACCGCTAGTCAACGGGCTTTGCCCCTCCATGATGCCGTCGCGCGATATGCATGCCAGATAGATACTTCCGCTTCTTTGTCCCTAGGGTATCAAAATTGTGAAACAATCTACATGAGCAGGCTTATCCCAGTTCTTCTAACCTTAGGCAGTTCAAAAAATTAGTAAAACGTATTAGTATTAGTAAAAAAAGTTTCTTTAAGCTCCTGAGCGCTGTGAGCCAAACGAACAATTTTCATAGCAGTGGATTCTAGTAAGCTTGAAAGCAATCTAAAATGTTTTTTTTCAATCAGACCTATTTTAAGGAATGTGTGCTGTTTCAGTATATTTAAGACTCTTTACTGCACCAAAAATAAGATAAGCTAGCCTCGAAGATTGTTTTTCAGAAATACAGATTCTTATAGTTCCTGCAAAATTTGCAAAAGTTGAGAAAGCAAGTTTTGACGTTAGCTCTTCATATATTGTGAGGCGTATAACTCCAAAAAATTAGATTTTTATGTTATGCTAGTCGTGGCTTTGGAAGATATTTCCTATATTAGTCTAATTATATTAGACGAAAATACCACTAATTTGCGAAATAATTGTAAAGTCTCATTTTACTGCTGCAAGTTGTTTAGTGGGGTATTCAAACCATGGACGCATAAAATGAGTACACCAATTTTTGTGGGAAACTTCTTATTCGACAACACAGAAAGAGAAAACGTGTTTTTTGGAATTCAAAAGAAAGCAGCAACGAAAAAATCCTTTATATAAGATTTTTAGATACTTATGAGATCTACAAAATGAGACCGCCCCCAAAAAGGTCCGACTAATAGCAAAAAAGTTATAGCCGAAAACCGTGGCAAACTACAGGTTTTGGCACTTGTTGGTAATGCGACGATGGTTTCTCGCAGATATTTGGAATACTTCAAATTCGTAGGATTCGACTTCTAAATAACCACAACAGAATTGGAGTAGATTGGCCAAGTAGTTTTTGAGAATATCTAATTGTTCATCCCAAAACTCCTGTTTTGCGGCCATCACTACTAGTTTATTGAGCAATATACAGAGTTAGTTCAAAGGGCATTTTATAGCAAAATACACTAGTTTACCTTGCCGATATGAATCGTAAGCCGTTCCGGAAGATGAATGTTATTTTCATGCAAAGAAGGATTACGTTTTTTCTTCTAAACAAATTCATTTGTGAGTAATTTGTGAGTAATTCGCAACAAAAGATGATAGACACATCCGCTTTGTTTTAAAATGTGTACAGTAACGTGCTTTTCGAATATCGTAGCGCAATTGTTCAATTAGTAAAAGTAAGTAAAAAGTAGAAGTAAAAAAACGAAACCTTTGTTTTTAGCATAAAAATAACATTTATATTTCGGAACGGTTTGTGATTCATGTCGGCAAGGTAAACACGTGTGTTTTGCTATAAAATGCTCTTTGAACGAACCCTGTATATTGCTCAATAAACTAGTAGGATGGCCAGAAAACAATTAGAAATTCTCAAAAAACTACTTGACAAATATACAAATATATAAATTTTGTTGTTGTTATTTAGAAGTATAATATAATTTCAAGTAGTTGCGTGAAATTATCGTCGCATTACCAACAAGTTCCAAAACCTGCATTTTAACATTGTGTGGTGTCTGTAATATGTGCTGGTGAAAGAATCTGCAAAAACTGTGGTATTTTTCAAAATTAAGTGATTTTCTACTAGCACTTGCCTGAAAATGCGTCATATTTAGTGATTCCACTGATTTCTCTTTTAATGTAGAGTTATGCCTAAGTGTGCCCCATCATAATACCAGATTATATAAGCAAAGCCCATACTATATTGGTGTAAAAATGTTTAATGCTTTGCCCGTACATATAAAAGACTGCACCAATACATGGCTTCAAAAAAACATTGAAAGCTTAGTTATTAGAAAAGGCCTTTTATTCACTGAATGGATATTTTAATTGTCCATAGTTTTTTTGATGTACCTAATGTTTTTGTGTGTACGTGTGGCAATAATGCTTTTAAATGTGAAATCGTGCTATCAAAGTGTTTATCAATTCTCATGTTCACGTTGTCTATGTTTTCCATTGTAAACCTAATGACGAATTATTATTATTATTATCTTTTTCTTCCACAGACGTATCTGTCTGGTAATAAAGGATAGACCAGATATCAACCAGATATCAAAGAGACTATCCAAGCACCTTCCTTAGTATATGCGCTGTTCCTAGTAGTGCCGTTTTTTGAATTTGGTAGAGTGCTGGTTTACCGGGTATTGAGTCACAATTTCCGTGGAAGGTTTTGGTGATAGTTCCTAATGCACCAACAACGACAGGAGTTATCCAAGCTTTCACATGCCACATTCTCTGTATTTCTATCTGGAGATCTCTGTACTTAGATATCTTTTCATTTTCTTTCGATTTTACATTGGAATCGTCGGGAACCGCTATATCAATTAGTTGACATGTTTTCTCCTTTCTGTTATGAATTATAATGTCAGGTCGGTTTGCTTTTATTGTTCGATCCGTTATTACCGGCACATCCCACATAATACATACATCAGTGGTGTCATTCTTGATGTTGGTGACACTCTGGATTTCATGTTGATAATATTTATCTGTAACTGGAATACCAAACGAGTCACATATTTTCCAGTGAACGTAACTAGCTACATTGTTATGTCTAGCGGTATACTCTGAAGGGGCTAGTACTTGGCAACCTGCTACTATATGGCTCATGTGTTCGTCGGACTGCCCGCATATTCTGCATTTACTGTCTATACTTTGTTTTAGTATATACTTTTGGTGGTACCTTGTATTTAATGCTTGATCTTGTGCAGATACTATCAGAGCTTCTGTTTCCGCTTTCAGCGTAGAGCTTCTCAACCATATTATTATTATTATTATTATTATTATTATTATTATTATTATTATTATTATTATTATTATTATTACTATTTGCCTCGTTTTTCGGCCATAACATTTTTGATATTAGTGAGATCCTTTTACGTGTGGTTTCATTTTGTATGCCTCATAAATAGATAAAAATCTTATATGAAAAGTTTTTTCGTCCCTGTCAACACTCTGGATTGAATCCCAAAAATCACGTTTTCTCATTCTTTGTAGTCAAACCCCCTTGAACAACTTGCACCATTAAAACTAGACTTCACAATTATTTCGGAGAAATTTGCTAATATAATTAGTCTGACTATATATTTAAAATCTTCTGTTGTAGCAGGACGTTTTGAATGCTAATCAGCAATTCATAAAAATGTTCTCCACCGACACAAAAAAAAATCAAAACTGTTTTAAGATGGTTTGGCAAAGTTATGAGAATAGCGGTTTCATTAAAATTATTAAAAGTTGGTAAGCGATATGCTATGGGAATAGATTTAGTCTGAAAATCCCTCCAGAGAAAACAGACGATGTGAAAAAAAATACGTAAATCCACTGAAAGCATTTTTCCAGCGATGTTGGGGAAGCTCGATGTGGAATTATCGAGGGTAGCCCGAAGCCGTCAAATTATTTTTCAGCATCTCCTTTTCCCTTCGCCTCATGAAACCCCGCCTTTGTCTAAATTTAGCCTCAGCAACGCCCATCCCAGTGTCTTTCACTATATTTTCCATTCATACACACTTATAATGATGGCATTCCGCACATATCGTATCCTTGACTCGCCAGTTGTTCTGGTATGGTAGCATTGGTAGCCGCGTTGTGGCTTGTTGACATTGTCGCACAACGTTACCGAAAAATAACGCGATTCTGTGACGGCAGTCGGTTGTATGAGCAGACTCAATGGTGACGATGAGTCACTTTGCGGTGATCCTGAACGCGAGTCGTGAATTGTGATCAGTCGAGTGATTCACTTCGAAGACGATTGCGTGGGTGTCCGTGCGTGAGTGATTGAGAAGCGGCTTGAGGCGATTTTAGGTTATTGTGTAGTGTTTTGAAGTGTGTAGATTGTGTATCTTTCTAGGCCCTGTTACGTTCTAACCTTTAACTCCGTCTTATTTCCAATGTTTCCATAAAAAACAGCGTCACCGAGACTGGGGGGCCCAGGTTTCACTGAATTTTTATTACTGCGACAAAAATTGGATAAACATAATTTGTTGCGTTTCACGAAACAACTATTAAGGTATGGATGAGTTCGAAATTCGCAGATTTTTATTTCTTGTTAGTAGCGATATTCATGTGTTCATGAAAGCAGGCAGCGTTTTGAGTTGGTTAATGTACAGACCTCGTGTGTACTCAAATCGGATAAAACTTGAAACTCCACAGCCCCAAATGCACTAGCGGCTCGGTACCCGCGCACTACGACTAAAAATGGAGATATTTCCAGGAGAAAACGATAGTAACACATTTGTACCAAAAACCTACTCTAGATTTTGTCTTATCCCTAATGGCGAGGCTCTGTACACTTTTTGTTGGAGCTCCATACACTTTTTACGGCAATGTCAAGCCCGAAACTGAAAATTTAGCCATGATTGATTTGGCATTCAGATGTTGTGTTTTAGCGTTTTCCGAGTCAAAATAATTCATTAATCGGATAAAAGAAATTATAAAAACTGCTAATCTCAAGATCATCTATACCTAATGAGACCATTTATTTTTTGAATCATAGCGGGATTTCGATTCATGTATGTCAATTAGTAGGTTCAATTCACGGGATTTAAAAGTGGAGAGCGGAAGAAGTGTCAGCGTGATTACTGTTTAAAAGCAATTTGTTTGGTAATTAACTAATTAACTTACTTACATATTTGATAAGCCATTTGAGGATAAATTTTGATTTTATTAAATTGAATTCAATTTACGAATTTCGATTAAATATTCGCTACCATAATCTCGTGCATTTTCCTTGAATGCACGCAATCTTTCACATTCAAGCGTGTGTGGATTTCGCTAGGTATTCTTATCATTTACTTTTCATCCTCTTACACAAGATAAAAAACCTTTGCTTTTTTCTTATAAACTCAGTTTGCATCACTACAAAGGGTTTTCATCCTCTGAATTGTTTTAAAATATTAGACAACTCTATTTTTCAAGAATTTAATATCGATAAATGTTATATATTTTGATAATTTCGTTGCAGATTGCACCCAAAAGAAAATTCAGTACAATTTGTATTGGTATTATAATAATATATTTTACTACACATTTTTATCTTTACCATTTACATTTGACCTTGGCCATTATTTTTTGCGCGCGAATCTTTACGAAATCAGAATTTTACCAGGATTACAATATTATACGATTTGAACATAAATGTAAGTGTTGTTAGTAATAAAACAACATGATTGACATCTATATCGAGCCTTTTATTTAAAATAGCAATACGATATTTGTATATGCGAGATGTCGATAAACTCGTACTTTTCAATCATGGTACTTTTAAGCCGTTTTATTAGAGGTTTTGGTCTATCTAAAATACAGCAATAACTTCAAATGAGACTGTACAAAAAACCATGGGATTAGATATATCTTTACCGACGAAAGACATATTCTAGGAGAACATGTTTGGCGAGTTATCGATATTTGTGGCTAAACATTAACCGTACGAATCTAAAATAAAAAGCCCAATGTCCAAATCGCACCTTTTTTGCTGTGATGATATAATATTCTAGGTCGTTCCTCAGATAGTGAAGATATTTTTACTCAACTAAACTTTTGGGTCATTACTCGCAAAATTATCTTAACAACTATAATTTTGCGTAATTAAACTACATATGTATATTACGAACTAGATTTCTTTTATTAACCATTTCAAAAGAGTCCGCGTTTACATGCTATTTAAATTTAATGGTGTACTAAACTAGCAAAGTTTTCCAATAACGATAGTTATACGTTCACTATCTTATGGCTATTTATATATTCCCTTAATATGGCACTAACCGTAAAACTAAGAGAGTGAAGATATGCAAAATAAGAAGCAATCTATAATCATACGATTCCACATTAATTCTGTTTTCGATAATATAATGATTACAAAGATTCGGGCATAAGCATAATATACAGTAATGGACAAAAGTATATATAGACAAATATCAGTATTTATCTAAAAACCTTTAGAAAACGAATTCATACTTCATTTCTCCATAAACAAATACGTTATTAGTAGAAAAACTAAATTCCTTGTTTTTGCATTATCTTCAATGAACACAATACAAGTCTGAATATAAGCAGTTTTTGTATGAGGGACAAAAATATGTAGACAAACTCTTTTCAACATTAGTTTAGTACAGTTTCGTGTCAGAAGAGGATTAGTTTGTGTTCATCAAGTATTATGGAATAAGTTGAGTGATTTTAAGACCATGCCGCGTGGTCCAGAAATTTCTTTCGTTGTGAAAACTAAGATCATTGAGTTATACAAAGATGGTCAACGATAAGTCGACATTGCCAAAAATTTGAAGCTGAAGCGTAAAGCAGCTTGGGCAATATTGAACAAATATAAACAGGTATCTCGGAAGCCTCTAAGAGAAGTGGTCGGCCTTGAAAACTAAATGCTAGATCAGTTGGATTAATAAAAGTAATTTCGTCCAAAGATCCGTTTAAAACCCCAAGGCAATTAAAAGCCGAAATCGAGACAAAAGGAATTGCCAGTGTTTCTACGAAAACTATAAGTAGAAGATTAAATGATTTGAAGTTATACTAAGTGACATATAAATCCGAACACCCAGTTTAAATGGTTTTATTTTAAAAAAAGTTGGTGAATGTATTTATCTTACTGTAAATAACAAGTGAAAAAATTTTCAGCCTTATCAGTTGGACATTCCGGTTTTTATACCGCTTTTTTTTTAATTCACTAACGCTCTAAAAATGAATATTTCAGCCGCAGTAAAGAATCAACGTTGGCGGATTTTGGTTCTTGACATCCTTTACGATCGGTTAAGATGCCTAGAGTACGGCAACCTGTACGATTTCGTCAACTTAGTGAGTTTGATAGGGGCCGTATAGTGGGACTTCGAGAAGCTGGACTTTCTTTTCGGGCAATTGCAGTTAGAGTGCAAAGAAGTGTAGACACTGTGGTTAGGTGTTGTCAGGCATGGCTTCGAGAAGGCCGTACGCAAAGAGCAAGGGGCACTGGACGCCGCCGTAGAACAACAGACCGTGAAGATCGCCGCCTAAGATTATTGGCCTTAAGGGACCGTTTCTCCACTACCAGGTCCATTGCAAATGAATGGTTTGCAGAACACGGAAGACCTATTGGCATGCGAAGTGTTTACCGACGAATAAGAAGTTTTGGCTTGTTTTCATACCGGCCACACTGGGTCCTCCCTTTAACTCGGGAACACCGACGTAATCGCCTTGAGTGGTGCAGACAACGGTCACTCTGGGATCAGGAATGGAACAGTATTGTCTTTAGTGACGAGTCTCGATTTTGTTTAGGCATGCACGATGGTCGTGCCAGGGTTAGAAGGCGACGTGGTGAAAGGAGGAATCCACAGTTTTTTGTTGAAAGACATGTTCATCACACTGTTGGAGTTATGGTTTGGGGTGCTATAGCTTATGGTTCCAGGTCACCTTTAATCTTCATCAGAGGTAACATGAACGCGCAGCGTTATATCCACGAAGTTCTAGAACCCCATCTTTTACCCTATCTTGACACCCTGGCAGATCCAACTTTCCAACAAGATAATGCCCAACCACATGTTGCAAGACTCACAATAGACTTCTTTCAACATAATGATGTCACATTGTTACCATGGCTACCAAGATCTCCCGACTTATCCCCACTTGAGCACGTGTAGGATATGATGGGTAGGAGATTGCTCAATTTGCAACGTCCTCCTCAGACTCTAGAAACACTTCGAGAGTAGTTGGTGGTTGCCTGGAATGAGATACCACAGGACGACATTGACCACCTGATCAGAAGCATGCCTGGCCCGTTGGAGAATGCGTAGCACATGAGGGTGCATCCACACATTATTAAAGGTCAAAAGGCTTTAAAGCAGTGCAATCATTTTGAAATTTTTATCACTTACTTATTATGCTTCATTAAGTACTTGTACAAAATTTTATTAAAATAAAACCATTTAAACTGAGTGTTCGGATTTATATGTCACTTAGTATATTTGCAAGTCGCCCGAGTAAGAAGCCGCTAATCTCGAGGAAAAACCGTAAGGACCGATTACAATTTGCACGGTTGCATCTTGATTGGAGCATCTGTGACTGAAAGATGGTACGTTTCAGTGACGAATCCAAGTTCAATATGTTTGGATCAGATGGTGTTCATTACGTTAGACGTCCTAGTGGAAAAGATTGAACCCCAAGTACACTTTGCCAACATGGAGGCGGGTCTGTTATGGTTTGGAGGTGCTTTTCGGGGTTTGGGATGGAACGTTTACATAGAATAGATGGCATTATGGATAAGTACGTATACACAGACATAGTAAAGCATGTCATGTTACCCTATATGGAAGACAATATGCCCTTAAGATCAATCTTCCAGCAAGATAATGACCCGAAGCACACTTCGAATCTCGCACAGAAATTCTTTCTAGATGAAAAAATACCAGTTCTCAAATGTCCTTCACTCTCCCAATATAAACTCCATTGAAAATCTATGGGAATACTTAGATAAGCAAATACGAGATAAAAATTATATAAGGAAGGATGAACTTTTTGTCGCTTTAGAGCAAAAGTGGAGACAGATTGATGAATCTCAAATCAAGAAACTTCTACAATCTATGCCGAGACGATACCAGGCGATGATTGATAATGATAGTTATGCTACAAAATATTAATACAAACATGGTTGGTTTTCTATAATTCAATGAACTTTGCTTCTTTTTTCTATAATTGTTTTGGTTTGTCTATATATTTTTGTCCTTCATAGTTCCAGTTTTTTTCAATTAATTTTTTATTGAAGGGAGTCTAATGAATTTATTTATGTATAAGTATTATGCTATAACGAATTATGTATACAGGTTGGTGTATTAATAAAATAATTTAAAAAAGAAATGCAGCACAATATTAATTTGTCTCTATACTTTTGTCCATTTGTCACATACTTTCAACTTTTTACCTCGAGTGCAAACGGTAAAAATATTAACGAAAAAAAGAAAAAGAAATTGAATCTGCGAGTTATAGCCCAAGGTTCAAGCTAAGTATTTAAACATCCCTTTATAACTGATTTCAATCAAATGACATGAAAGCATGTTAATGAATGTATGACGTAACATGTGCCGACTTTTCATGTATTGAATGAGCATGTAGAATTTGCGAAAAAAATTAGTTATCTTGCAAAACATGTCATAGATTTACCATCAATATCTTTTCTTTGCAAATGGAAAAATCAGAAAATAAAACTTATTTATTTGTAATTTATAATAAATACAAAATACTATTTCATGTCAACTCAAAATGTTTGTGAAGTTGAAAATATAGGAATCGTGTTATTTGTGGCTTATCACCATAACTTGTTTTTGAGGCATTCCACACATGTGTGTATTAGGATATGACCAGAATGTGACAGTAATTGTTGCCTGTGTTTATGGTGACCATACACTGTAAATTTAACCGAAGTGTGTGTGGCCAGTGTAAACTTACAATACCGAGCAAAAGTAGAGAAACATTTTATTTTTTTAAATATTTTATTAAACTATTAAGGTAAACTAAACACATGTTTTATTATAACTTAATGTAACATGTAATTCAAAGCCAACACGAAAATAAAATTTCTGCTGTAATAAAACTACGCTAACAATTATTATTAGAAAATACAGCGAGCAAAAATAGAGAAACATATATATAAAGCAATTGTCGTATACAAAGAAGCTAATCCTTGGTTGCATAACCTTAATTTTTGATAACTGCTAGACATATTTTCCTCATAGAACCAATTAGGCTATCTATTGTTTCTTTTGGAATAGAATTCCAGGCGACTTCGATTGTTTCAAATATTTCGGCACTATTTTTGAACTTTTCTGGATGTTCAGTCCGAATTTTTTTATCAACTAAATCCCTTAGGTTCTCTATGGGGTTAAGGTCTGGACTCTGAGCTGGCCACTTAATGACATTAATATTGTGATCTGAAAAAATGTTTTTATTATTTTCGCTGTGTGCTTGGGGTCGTTGTCGTGTTGGAACCGCCAGCGTAGAGGCATGTTTTCTTCTGGGCAAGGTAGCATGGTATTAGTTAATATTTCCAAGTTTTTGTACTGGTCCATAATTCCTTCAATTTTGACGATGGGTCCCATTCGAAGACCACAGAAGCAACCCCATGCTTGAACCTTCCCGCCTTCGTGTTTGATTGTGCCCAAAGTGAACTTAGGATCAAATCGCTTGTTTTTAGAACGCCTTACCCATAAAATGCCATTCGACGAAAATATATTAAATTTACTTTCATCAGAAGATAATACAGAATTCCAACTTGTTTCTGACCAGTTCAATTGATCGTAAGCAAATGAAGACGGGCTATCCGATTTTTCTTGGAAAGAAAGGGTTTTTTAGATGGTCTCCTTGCTGGTAAATCACGTTTTCGAACAGTGTGGACACCAATACTTACTTCATCAAGTTGAGCTTTTATGCCGACAGCAGTAGTAAATGGAGTTTTAAGAGCAAGTGTTTTAATTTTTCTATCAATCCTAGGTGTGGTTTTTCGCGGTCTACCAGTCTTAGGAGGGCTTACCAACGATTTTCCTAGGCGGAACAGCTTAATAGTTTTGCAAATTACCGATCGGCTTAAATTCAGCTGTTTGACTATGGTTGCTTGTTTAATGCCTGATCGATATTTTAAAATTCAATGTAATTCCCCTGGCCATGTTTTTGAACTACACTTTACCAAATACACTAAAAAATAACACCTATTCTAATCAATGACTAAACATAAACTAAATGTTTACAAAATGTTTCTCTACTTTTGCTCGTTGAACAAAAAATCGACCATAGTATATTGAAAAAAAAGAATTTATACAAAGATAAGAATTTCATTATCTTGAGGTAGTTAGTCATACATAAAAAACTTAAGTGTACAGTTTTGGGTTAGAGTAAATCTTTCGCGATTTTTATTTGTAATGTGGTTTGTTTCTCTACTTTTGCTCGGTACTGTAGGTACACCTTAAGCGATATATACTGATTTTTTGATTAGTCGGAAGCGGCTGAAATGCCGCTCTTGAGACCATCCCAATACCGTTAGACATAAAACCAATGTAAAAAACGGATATTTATCCATCAGCTAGATCGAATTAACCAAGCAATCAACGAAAGTATACGAACATTATAAATCGAGTGAAAAATACGAACTGAGCAAAGGGTGAAAAAGGAAAGTGAAAGTGATTGAGTGAACGTCCGCGGGTCTAGAGGCACCCTCATTCAAATGGACAGTGCGCGAGAGGTGAGGGGATAAGACATCTCGCCCTTCTGCCGCTGGCATGACGAAAAATAAGCAACACAAGTTTCCACTCAGGAATGAATTCGCTACTATCAGCAGGAGGTTCAAGAAAAAGGAGAAGCTGAAAAGGTAATTTTTATTTCACTCCTGCGTTGTATACATATTGAAGAAATGAAGACAAGTAGATTTCCGTGCTTTAAGATGAGAAAAACTTGGAAACCATATACTGCTGTACTTAGGCAAAAGGCAATCAAGTGTAAATATCGAAGTCTGAGAAAAGTGAGTTGAAAATTTTAACGACAGAAGAAATGAATAAATATTGCAATCTTTCTAGGTAGTCATTTACATGTGGTTTCGGATCATAGTTGTTGTTGATACCTAGTGAATCAGTGCCATTTTCTCGACTCATTCGCAATCTTTTCTGGCCATAACATCCACTAGTCTGCTTAGAATTCTACATTTTTGTTTGAGCGCCTTTTTTCTCAACTTCATGGGTGCAGATACCCCTCTGCGCTTAGCATAGCAGTATATACAGTAATGGACAAAAGTATATTGTGCTGTATTTCTTTTTAACTTGTTTTATTGATACACCAACCTGTATACATAATTCGTTATACCATAATACTCACTTATACATAAATAAATTCATTAGACTCCCTTCACCAAAAAATTAGCTGAAAAAAACTGGAACTATGAAGGACAAAAATATATAGACAAAGCAAAACAATTATAGAAAAAAGAAGCAAAGTACATTGAATTATAGAAAACCAACCATGCTTGTGTTAATATTTTGTAGCATAACCATTATTATCAATCACCGCCGGGTATCGTCTCGGAATAGATTGTAGAAGTTTCTTCTCCACTTTTGCTCTAAAGCGGCAAAAAGTTCATCCTTGTTTGAATAATTTTTATTTCGTATTTGCTTATCTAAGTATTCCCATAGATTTTCAGTGGGGTTTATATCGGGAGACTGTGAAGGTCATTTGAGAACTGGTATTTTTCATCCAGAAAGAATTTCTTTGCGAGATTTGAAGTGTGCTTCGGGTCATTATCTTGCTGGAAGATTGATCTTAAGGGCATATTGTCTTCCATATAGGGTAACATGACATGCTTTAGTATGTTGTAACATTGAAAATTCCTATTGTCTCGATTTCGGCTTTTATTTGTCTTGGACTTTTAAACGGATCTTTGGACGAAATTACTATTAATCCGACTGATCTAGCATTTAGTTTCAGTTTCAAATTTGTGGCAATGTCGACTTGACGTTGACCATCTTTGTATAACTCAATGATCTTAGTTTTCAAATCGAAAGAAATTTCTGGATCACGCGGCATGGTCTTAAAATCACTCAACTTATTCCACAATACTTGATGAACACTAACTAATCCTCTTCTGACACGAAACTGCATTAAACTAATGTTGAAAAGAATTTGTCTACATATTTTTATCCCTCATAAAAAAGTGCTTATATTCAGACTTGTATTGTGTTCATTGCAGATAATGCAAAAACAAGGAATTTAGTTTGTCTACTAATAACGCATTTGATTATGGAGCAATGATGTATGAATTCGTTTTCTAAAGGTATTTAGGTAAATATTCATATTTGTCTATATACTTTTGTCCATTACTGTACGTATAGCATTGATAGTGAGATAAATTCTATCCATAGCTCGTTTGAGAGGGCTCTTAACCTACCTATGTATTCTGCTATTATTATCCTTCCGTAAACTCAATCTGGATTCAGGATATATCAAAAATTAAGCATATAAAGGTCTTAAATTTGGCATTTTTTGCAATATGACAAACTTACGAGACGGCAAACTGAAATTCAAAAGGAGTTGTCGGATAAAGTTGGGATTGTCGAGTACGAGAAGTTAATGGCTTTTTTAAAGTTTCCCTGTGAGAATAATTTCTTGGTTACGCTAAAAACTGTTATATAGGTCAAAATTACTTTATGGAGCATTCAATTAGAAAGTATACTTTTTAGTACTCAAGCTAAAGAAACTTTTTTCCTCCCACTAATGATGCCCGTTATTTTTCTCTTTATTGGTGTTCTCGCCGTGAAAGTTTCACTCTACGGCTCGACTTCAGATTTAACTGTAATTAATTTTCTCAATTATGAATATAACTTTATGAAAAGGTGGAAGCTTTATATGGAGGTGACATATATTATATAAAGAAAGTCGCTGATGAGAAAGAGGTGATTGTGATAAGTTGCTATGATTATTTTTAAGACTGGTATGCATTTGAAAATGGAATATTTTAAATTATTTTAAATAGATAATTTCCTTGGTAATGTTCGTATAGTATTTTCATTTAATAATTTTCACTATGGAAAATTGTCCATACTAGTTTTTCCTGACTTTTCTCACCTCAGATGTCTATCACGTAAAGCAACATAGCATAAACATTTAGTCATCTTAATTGGTTCAATATATCTTATTTACCAATTATAGAATTGTACGCGCATACAAATTGTGAATATCCTAAAGATACTTTTTGGTTGCTTAGATGCATAGATAAAAGTCACTCGTGAAAATCGTGGAAGTTAAATGACTCTACATTTTAGAGTCCGATTGTATCTGAAATATGTTCTAATGATCTATTAGTTCATTTTAAAAAGAATTTCCGGCTTTCAGATAAACTTTCAATAGATTTAATACTCTATGCTTTTCAGAAAGATCCCTACTTATTGTTTGAACGGGTCAAGTTAGTAAGGTGAGATTTTGAGTGATGAAATTAATGCATGAATGCTAAATTTTAACATAAAGATAACAGTTGAAAATCGCAAGTTAATGGCCACCCGCCATCTTGAAACATTTTTTTAAATATAATTAAGGGTCATGCGATACCTCATTATTTATAATCCTAGAATAAAAATATATTATCTCCCAGTTTGCTACACTTTCATCACCCCAAATTTTAGCTGGTTAACTTGATCCGGTCAAAAACTAAGTTTGGGGTATCTTTTTGAAAAGTACTGTATTTCCATGTCCAGCCATTTTTTTATGTTGAGAGAAAGTTCACTCCAGAAGATAACAGTATCGCTGTTCCATACGAAACAAGTGAATATGGCGAAAGTAGAGGGCTAATCTCCTTACCTGATATTTTAATACGAACAGTTTCACGCAAGATAGCACCTATATGGAATTACATTCTCTATTTTCAGCAGTTACTATATCTTACACAAGGAAATTCTGAATGATTAAAGGTGTATTTTGCTTGTACACCAGTAGTAATAAAATATGCTATTTACAAACTACGAGTATGTACAGCTTTGAAAGTTAAAATACTTCATAGAATTTTCAAAAGTGTACGGATATTTTTATACTCTCCCATTTAGAAGGTAAATGGTTTTACGTAAGCTGATGTGGGGTTGAACGACTGCGTTATATTTACTAGGAGTATGAACATTGACATACCGCTTTCAGCTCGTTTTTCATTCGTTATTAGTCGTGTGAGCGCTTCTCAGCTGAATTTCACTTTTTACGCCAAAAATAGTAGCAGGGGCTAACAACTTCGAGTCGTTTTGAATATTGTGCTACATTATAATATAGATGAAACATTTTCTTTATTGCCCAGCCATGATTCTTGAAAGAAAACCATTAACATTTTGTCTCTAGTCAAAAGAATCTTTCAAAAAATGAAAACAGTCAAGATCCAAAGTAATAACTGATGGAAAATACAGGATGCCTTGAAAGTTGGAACTATACTTCCCAGAATCAACTACGTTTGAAATGGCAAAGCTAATTTACGGTAAAACGCCCAGTCACGCTTTGCTCTTAAAAAGTGATGATGTTTGATTCAACACTACATGCATGCTAACATCTTCCTAAATTTCCAACATAGGGGACTGTCGAGGTCTTCCCTCGAAAGCCTTTGAACGCTGTCAACAGACCTAAGCTGCTCTCAATGGAAACATCTAGAAAAACCATCTAAATACACTGGCGTAGTAGAATTTTTGATGATGCTCGCCGTAAAGGCTTTTATAGGGATATATAGATAAATGGTTTATAGTCTTCGGATCAAAGATATGATATAAGACGCATCAGATATATCTCTATCTCCAAAACTTGAAAATATATTTAAGTATAAATACATCCACAAGATTCTGTCGATATTTTCATTGGTTCTTGAAGACGAAGGCCTTCCGCTTCGTGGTGCATCTTCAATCGACTCGCTTCCTTCTGAAAGTGGCTTAGCCTTTAAAAAACCTGGGGTCTTGACGAAACACTATCTCTGTAGGCCTGATGAAGTTTATCAAGAGTTCTCGTTGCGCTGTGCCCAAGTCTGAATCAAAACCTGATAGCACTGTTACTCGAAATTGATGTAATTCGTTTTTAGAACAATAGGAAATGACTGGAGCGAATTCAAACTTTTGCTGAAAGCCAGTCTCGATCACTTAATTTACAAACTTCGTACGCTTTACTTGTACTATACATTCTTAAGTCGACTTGCAAAATACAGTGTGCGTGGTATCAAATTGTTCGTCTTAACGCGTGCTGACAAAAATTTGGCAGTGAAATCCCGCGGAGGAATGTGCCAATTTGTTTTTATTTTTTTCAATTTTGATCCGTAATTGAACAGCTAGGTTAACCTCCACACCATGATTTTAATACTGATGCACGTTTTACCATCCCACGCTGGATGATGCGCCGAGATCATCTATACTAAGTGACATATAAATCCGAACACCCAGTTTAAATGGTTTTATTTTAATAAAATTTTGTATAAGTACTTAATGAAGCATAATAAGTAAATGATAAAAATTTCAAAATGATTGCACTGCTTTAAAGCCCTATGACCTTTAATAATGTGTGGATGCACCCTGATGTGCTACGCATTCTCCAACGCGCCTAGGCATGCTTCTGATCAGGTGGTCAATGTCCTCCTGTGGTATCTCATTCCAGGCAACCACCAACTCCTCTCGAAGTGCTTCAAGAGTCTGAGGATGACGTTGCAAATTGAGCAATCTCCTACCCATCATATCCCACACGTGCTCAATTGGGGATAAGTCGGGAGATCTTGGTGGCCATGGTAACAATGTGACATCAGTATGTTGAAAGAAGTCTATTGTGACTCTTGCAACATGTGGTCTGGCATTATCTTGTTGGAAAGTTGGATCTGCC